GTTGTCGAAATCAGGAAAATGTAGTCCCAATAGTTTGGTTAGAAAAGCAGTCGAAAGTTTGGGACATTTGTTTTTAATATTCCTTTTTCTTCTTTCATTTTTCACCATGACTCTGGAATTTGTTTAGCAAAATAATCAATTTTTGCACTAACTTAAAAAAACTCGTTTATCTAAAAAAATTTCTATCCGAAAAGTAATTTTTTTTTTAATTAATAATAGTCAAAATAATTTTGGATTGTAAGATTTGTAAATTTTTGCATAATTTAAAACTATGTAATTTTTAACAAGAAAGTTCAAAATGTGGACGAGATTGGTTGAGCAGTGCATGGGAAATGAAAATTTAAAATTAAAACGTTTTTGAAAATTTATAACTTGGAAACTATTCAATTTTGTTCAACTTTAATATTTTCCACTTCATTTAGTACCTGAAAACTCGATCTATTAGGACAAAAATTATTCGAAATGATGTATTTTTCCTTAGGATGCTAAAAAAAATATTCTTATTTTAAATAATGAGAAAAGATAAAAAGAACTCTGTTCGCGCATTGCCTTTGACATTTTCTATTTTTCGTTATTATTTAATGTGTTTTGCTCGCAAAGTGTGCCGTATTAGCAAAACACAAGAATTGATCGGCTTAAAATTATACGTTTTCGAAAAATTCCTTTTTTCTATATTCCTTACAAATAGTACATTTAAGCATGAATTTGTAGAAAACATATTTTAAATGCGAAATATCTCAAAAATGGTAGGAACAAATTACACCTAGTGAGCATTGGCTTTCATCCCACAAAAAATTTTAACAAATGTCGGATATGTCGTTCGAAATCAATTAAAAAACTAACAATTTAATAACAATTTAATAATTAAATAAGAAAAAATGTAGACAAAAAAATACGTAATTTTTAAAGCATTTAAAGTAGCAAGACCGCATATCACTAGGTCAAAAAGTAATCCCTTCAAGCATATATAATTAACAAATTTAGACAATTTCCATCGATATAAAAACTTATATGGAAAAAAATCTTGCTCAAAAGCATACACAATCAAATTGCTATAACTAGCTGACCTCTCATCAGAAATGTCCTGGATTCAAATCCCGGACAATGGTCTTTAGCTCTCTGTTATATCTGTCTTTACTGTGGGAGCAACGTTGGCCAATGGTCTAATAGGGTCCCCCTGAAAGAGTGGTCAAAAAATCTGCCCTAGTCCCTTGGTGGACTGATCGTAAGGACACAGTTCCCGATAGAACATCGAAGTCAAGCATCATTGTCTTCGGTCAGTAAGCGGGTATGGACTTGTGGCCAACTGGCAACTCCAGAGCACTATCTTACTGAATGTATTTACACTGCCCTTTGGCATACCCGTCCGCCGAATCAATCCAAGTTATACAAGTGGCAGAAAAACTTCCTAACTAACAAGACATTAAGTAAATACTAAACTTAAAAACACAATGCATTTTCTATCCATTAATGATAATTTAAAAAAAAAAATTAATGTTAATTAAGATTATGGGCTGCCTACTTAAATATATATAAATACTTAAAACTTATCATTAANTATATATATATATATATATTTGTCTTACATAAAATAAAATAAAAATATATAAATAAAATACTTATTTTGTCTTACATGATACATTTCATTCATGTACACTTTTTCTATTTTTTTTTCCTTTTTCTTTTTATTTCTCTTTTTCAATTATTTTATGTACATAACAAATTTTGTTTAATTTAGTGTTCTTTTTACTTTATGTTTACTAACAAATGTGATGCACACCTTTGAAATCTGCAAGACTTTTCATTGTTGTATTCTAAATTTCATTGTATAAATTATCTAAAGCAAGCTACTGTGTATTATGTATTATGCAATTTTATTTTAATAAATACCTGTTGATCAGGCTCGCTCCCGGGGTTGTGGTGAGCTGGACTGGTAGCCAGACGTGCACTATACGAGTAAGGGTTCCGCATACCTAGGTACGTGTCCACGTCTGGAGGAAAGGAAAAAAAGGAAAAGTCAGTAAGCGGACGTGTGGCCGCTTTGATCTGCCTTCGTAGCGCAAGAGGGTGCACGTTTTTCGATATACTGTTCTACCGTAAAGTGCTCGACTTAGCGTGAAGGTCGTCGGGCTACCAAAGCTGGTGAGCCATCCCCTCTGCAGAGGATTGAAATTGCGATGGCATGTCTTCCAATCATTCTCAGGGTTGTATCTCAGATTGTCGCCACTTGCCCATTGTGAAGCTCTAGTGTGACGTAAATAAAATACCGACCAAATCTGCAAACTAATACCTGAATGACGAATGTCAATCGGGTAGAAATTGGAAAAAGATTGCTATGACTTAACCATAACTGTGACTTAAGAAGCCGCACTACTATTCTTAGATATGTGTTCTTACGATTTCTGTTCCTCTTAAAGCTTGCATCTTTGTCCAATTAATATTGGCCAAAATTCCAATTATTTAATATTTTTCTATTTACGAACTCATAAAGATACAACGCAGGTGACAAGGAATAACACTAAAGACCGAGTTTTTAAAATCTCAGCACAAAGCTATTTTTTGACCCCTACTTCATCACTGGAAAATAATTTCGTATATTTGAAACTTTTAAAATTTATAAAAGTTTTAGAATATCTCAATATAGATAAACAATGAACTAAAATCGTTTTCTCATTGTTGTCGGCTAATTCGACTAAAAATTAATGACTGCGGTTTCCTCATTCATTAGACAAGGATGAGTCAGTGTTTTTGGTTGTCATCAGCATAAAATAAATGCAGGGCATAATGATTATCTTTTGCCAGTAAAATATTTCCCTCATTTAACGATAATTACTCGCAACATTTATTTATCGACATTTCTTAGTATTTCTCAATGCTATTATTATGCTTTTGATTTTTAATATTATTAAAAAAATTAAAGGCTTTAACTGAAAACGATATGTTGTATTATCGAGTAATTGTATGATGTTACCCACGCAATATTTTATGACTCAATTTTGAGTTTGAGTTTACCACTACTAATGTTCAACTAGGTAGTCTTGTAATTTTGAACCCAATGCAGAAGACAAGGAAACGACTAGATCGAGCATTGGAAGAAATTCGACTTCTTGGAGGACATTTTTGATGGAACTATTAAAAGCATTTGCGTTACATGGAGAGGAAAACCACTAGAATCTCCCACGGTTAGTCTCACTGCAAGGAGACTGTTTAGTTTTTAAAAAATTTATTATTCATTGCTATTTAATTTTCAATCTGAATATAGTATATTTTATTTCTTAACTGTAACTTTAAACGCTAGCAGCATCAATTCATCATATATCATTTTATTTTGTTTAATTCAAATTCAGAGATGTCAGCACAATTTTTGTTTGAGTCTGCGCAGTAGTAAGTTTCATTTTCGAACCTTTACTTTTACTTTGTTTTTCGTCACGGAGCAAATTATATACGAATTCGATGTGTTGTAGATGGTTATAATTTTCTTTTCGGGACCAGCTCCCAAGGATATTACGATGATACATTCAAAATTGTTATTTATCGATAGCTATTAGCTATATTAATTTACGAGGTGAGTCGTTTTTATGTTTTGTTGTCATTAGTTGTGCTGAACTGTCTGAAATCGTTTTCATGTTTAATTAACTAAATAATTTGCTGCTATCTTATTTTCAACTTGTTTACTGTTAAAAATTTCAATTCAAGTTTATATTTTGTGAAATCAATTAATATCCAGTATCGTTAATTGTTCAATATATTATTTGCAGAATAAATGTTCTTAAGATTCTTAATTTGTCAGGGTTTAAATTTTACAATATATATTTGTTTTCTTTCTCTTTTTTTATTTTGGTAATTAATTTTACCTGGTCCGTCGTTTTACAATTTACAACTATACAGAGACTCTAATTCATGATCCATCAACCACTGAGGATATTTGACATAAGCACTGTGGCCGGTGCAACGCCGGATGCGGAATTCGTATCGACCAGCCATCACTGGGAACCGAACCCGGTTCATCTCATTGGAAGTACAACGCTCTATACACTGAGCCTATCGCCGCTTGATGAACATAATTGATACAGCATTCCGATGAATATTTTACTGTTATTAAACAGTAAATAAGTAACAGTTACATTTATATCAAGCATTATGGAAAACTGTGCCTAGTCAATCTATGCATTGATAATAATTACAATGCATTATTGGGAATATAAATTTTCTGGTTAAAACATATAACAAGGTTTTATAGAAATCAAAAGTTCAACAAGAATTTTCAAAAAAAATATACATGTAGATAGATAATAAAGACTGAAGTTGAAATAGAGAACGAGAGAATTTGTTTAAGGTTTAAATTTTATACCAAATTGAAGAGGGAACTGAATTGGTCAAATCAAATTTGTGTTAATGTAAACTACTAATCACTTTTTTGAATCCTTCAAAAACATACCTTTAATTTTGATGTAACAATCTGTTTAGAGTCAAAAAAATACAAAAAACATAATAATTTAGCAATCTTGAAGTTCGGGACCCAAGCAAGGAGAGCTGAACATCTTAGTAATATTACATTTAAGATCTTTGGAAATCTAAGAATTTTAAGAAATGGATTATAAATTATTTAAAATGGAAAACATTAAGTCCTGTCAATGGTAAAAGCAGCTTAAAGATATAAATATTACACCACTGTCGCTTTAGCAAATGAGCAAAGTGGAAGAATGTTTCTTTCCTATACACTGTGGGTTGAAACTGTTCGAAGTTACTGGTGAGCTTATCAGTACATCTTAAAATCAAAATATAAACAAATAAATAAAACTATTTCTAAAATTTTTATGTAGGTTTAACTCAATTGTATAATCAATAAATAAATAATTAAATAAAATCTCATTTTCATCATTGTTATTAACAACAAATTACGTATTTCCGCCTTTAAGTATTTAATTAAAAGTTAAAACTAAATTATTCATAAAAAATAGAAAAAAAAATTTTGTTTTGCAAAAAATAAAAAATACAACTTTAAATGCAAACATTTATTTGGTAGTACAATTTTAATCAGTTATTGAAGAAAAGCATTAAAAATTGGGGAAAAACAAGGTAACAAAATCAACCAAATGCAGTTTGGATTGATTGCCTAACCACTTCAGCTGATTGTGCTGAGGCACCGTAGTTGACGTTTCCAATGCTAGCTGATCCCAGAACATGAACCAAAGCTGTCATCAGTTCCATAAGGGCTTGTATCGTAACATCACATTCAGATGCTCCAGGGTTACCAGCTCTAACTTGAGATACTACACTTCCGAGTGTGTTTGAAAGATTAGAAACATTAACTCGCCCTCCGGACACCATTCTTGATGCAACAGACGAAATTCGAGAAGTTGCTGCTGGTGATGAAATTGCTGAGGCTGCAGCAGTTGCGGATGCGGATGACCCACCAGCTCCTGTTCTGCCATAACCACCGGGACCATAACCTCCTGCACCACCAGTTGCTGCTGAAGACGCTGCGGAAGATGATGCACCAGGACCTAACGCTCCTACACCTCCTTGACCATATCCACCAGGTGCACCTCCTGGACCGCCTACTCCACTTGTTGCTGAAGATGCTGAGGTAGATCCACTTTGTCCATATCCACCTGATCTCCAAGAGATTATTTCTTCAAATCCTCCTGAACCACCTACTCCATTAGATGCTGCAGTCGAAGAGGCTGCTGATGCTGCTCCAGATCCTGATCCTCCTTGTCCATATTGACCAGGTCCATAACCTCCCTGTCCATATCCACCTTCACCGCCTGCACCTCCTGCGGCTGCTGAAGCTGCACTGGATCCTGATCCTCCTTGTCCATACTGACCAGTTCCATATCCACCTTCACCGCCTGCACCTCCAGCAGCTGCTGCTGCCGCTGCTGAAGCAGCACTAGATCCTGACCCTCCTTGTCCATATTGCCCAGGTCCATAGCCTCTTCGACCAGGCCCATATCCACCTTCACCGCCTGAACCTCCTGCGGCTGCTGCAGAGGCTGCACTGGATCCTGCTCCTCCTTGTCCATACTGACCAGTTCCATATCCACCTTCACCGCCGGCACTTCCTGCGGCTGCTGCTGCTGAAGCTGCACTGGATCCCGACCCACCTTGTCCATATTGACCAGGTCCATATCCACCTTCACCGCCTGCACCTCCTGCTGCCGCTGCTGAAGCTGCACTGGATCCACCTTGTCCATATTGACCAGGTCCATAACCTCCTTGGCCAGATCCATAACCACCTTGACCATATCCACCTTCACCACCTGCACCTCCTGCGGATGCTGCTGCTGCTGAAGCAGCACTGGATCCTGGCCCACCTTGTCCATATTGACCAGGTCCATAACTTCCTTGTCCATATCCACCTTCACCGCCTGCACCTCCTGCTGCTGCTGCTGCAGCTGCACTGGATCCACCTTGTCCATATTGACCAGGTCCATAACCTCCTTGGCCAGATCCATAACCACCTTGACCATATCCACCTTCACCACCTGCACCTCCTGCGGATGCTGCTGCTGCTGAAGCAGCACTGGATCCTGGCCCACCTTGTCCATATTGACCAGGTCCATAACTTCCTTGTCCATATCCACCTTCACCGCCTGCACCTCCTGCTGCTGCTGCTGCAGCTGCACTGGATCCTGACCCACCTTGTCCATATCCACCTTGTCCATATCCACCTTCACCGCCTGCACCTCCTGCTGCTGCTGCTGCTGCTGAAGCTGCACTGGATCCGGACCCACCTTGTCCATATCCACCTTGTCCATATCCACCTTCACCGCCTGCACCTCCTGCTGCTGATGCCGCTGCTGAAGCTGCACTGGATCCTCCTTGTCCATATTGACCAGGTCCAAAACCTCCTTGGCCAGATCCATAACCACCTTGTCCATATCCACCTTCACCGCCTGCACCTCCTGCGGCTGCGGATGCTGCTGCTGCTGAAGCAGCACTGGATCCTGGCCCACCTTGTCCATATTGACCAGGTCCATAACTTCCTTGTCCATATCCACCTTCACCGCCTGCACCTCCTGCTGCTGCTGCTGCAGCTGCACTGGATCCTGACCCTCCTTGCCCATATTGACCAGGTCCATAGCCTCCTTGTCCATATCCACCTTCACCGCCTGCACCTCCTGCGGCTGCTGCTGCTGAAGCTGCACTGGATCCAGATCCTCCTTGTCCATATTGACCAGTTCCATATCCACCTTGTCCATATCCCCCCTCACCGCCTGCACCTCCTGCAGCTGCTGCTGCTGCAGCTGCACTGGATCCTGACCCTCCAGGTCCATATTGACCAGGTCCATAGCCTCCTTGTCCATATCCACCTTCACCGCCTGCACCTCTTGCGGCTGCTGCTGCTGAAGCTGCACTGGATCCAGATCCTCCAGGTCCATATTGACCAGTTCCATATCCGCCTTGTCCATATCCACCCTCACCGCCTGAACCTCCCGCAGCTGCTGCTGCTGCAGCTGAACTAGATCCTGACCCTCCTTGTCCATATTGACCAGGTCCATAAGCTCCTTGTCCATATCCACCTTTACCGCCTGCACCTCCTGCGGCTGCAGCGGCTGCGGACGCTGATGCTGCACTGGATCCAGATCCTCCTTGTCCATATTGACCAGTTCCATATCCGCCTTGTCCATATCCACCCTCACCGCCTGAACCTCCTGCAGCTGCTGCTGCTGCAGCTGAACTAGATCCTGATCCTCCTTGTCCATATTGACCAGGTCCATAAGCTCCTTGTCCATATCCACCTTTACCGCCTGCACCTCCTGCGGCTGCAGCGGCTGCGGACGCTGATGCTGCACTGGATCCTGATCCTCCTTGCCCATATTGACCAGGTCCATAACCTCCTTGACCTGGTCCATAACCTCCTTGTCCATATCCACCTTCCCCTCCTGCACCTCCTGCGGCTGCTGCTGCTGCTGCTGAAGCTGCACTGGATCCTGATCCTCCTTGTCCATATTGACCAGTTCCATATCCACCTTCACCACCAGCACCTCCTGAGGCTGCTGCTGCTGCTGAAGCTGCACTGGATCCTGATCCTCTTTGTCCATATTGACCAGATCCATAACCACCTTGGCCAGATCCATAACCACTTTGTCCATATCCACCTTGCCCGCCTGCACCACCTGCGGCTGCAGCTGCTGCCGAAGCTGCACTGGAACCTGACCCTCCCTGTCCATATCCTCCAGATCCATAACCTCCTTGTCCGTATCCACCTTCACCTCCTAATCCACCTGCTGAACCTCCGGCTGCTGCTGCTGCGGCTGCTGCTGAAGCTGCACTGGATCCTCCTTGTCCATATTGACCAGGTCCATAACCTCCTTGACCAGGTCCATAACCTCCTTGTCCATATCCACCTTCGCCGCCTGCACCTCCTGAGGCTGCAGCTGCGGCAGCTGATGAAGCTGCGCTGGATCCTGATCCTCCTTGTCCATATTGACCAGGTCCATATCCACCTTGTCCATATCCTCCTTCACCGCCTGCACCTCCTGCCGCTGCTGCCGCTGCTGAAGCTGCACTGGATCCTCCTTGTCCATATTGACCAGGTCTATAACCTCCTTGACCAGGTCCATAACCTCCTTGTCCATATCCACCTTCGCCGCCTGCACCTCCTGAGGCTGCGGCAGCTGATGAAGCTGCGCTGGATCCTGATCCTCCTTGTCCATATTGACCATAACCTCCTAGTCCATATCCACCTTCACCTCCTGCTCCACCTGCGGCTGTTGCTGAAGCTGCACTGGATCCAGAGCCACCTTGCCCATTTCCTCCTGATCTCCATGAAATTATTTCTTCAAATCTTCCTGAACCGCTTACTTGATTAGTTGCAGCTGTTGAAGAGGCAGATGTAGCTGCATTAGATCCTGATCCTCTTTGTCCAAATTCACCTGATCCATAACCTCCTTGTCCATATCCATTACCTCCTTGTCCATATCCACCTTGACCACCAGCTCCTCCTGCGGCTGCAGCGGCGGCTGATGCTGAGGCTGCGCTAGATCCTGAACCTCCTTGTCCTGTCGCACCTGATCCATAACCCTGTCCATATCCTCTTTGTGCACCTATACCTCCTTCTCCCCCGTATGTAGTTGTGGCACCTGATCCTTGTTGTCCACCATATCCCCTAGTTGTTCCGGAAGAAGTGGTTACTATTTCACTTGATCCGTATGAAGTTTGTGTAACTGATTGAGCAGGTGTGTAAGACGTAACAATTTGAGAGGGCCTGTAGGACGTCACTGTCTGCGCTGGCCCTTGTACGTATGAAGTAGTCGTTGATGTTGCGGATGCAGTGGCCTGAGAGGGTCTATATGCTGTCATAGTTTGTGATGGGCCTTGAGCGTACAATGTAGCAGTTGATGGTGCTGAACTAGGACCAGTCCCGTAACCACCTGAACCTCCTGCGGATGCAGCTGCTGCAGCAGACGCAGCACCCCCAGTCGCAATTGCATTTCCTGAGGCTTGAGCAAACATGTTTATTAAAGTACGGATTTCGTTTACAAATGCGGCATTACTACCACCGGTTGTTTGGAAAAATGCTGAACTCATTGCGTTTGTTATGGCATCAGTGGTCGCTTGAATATTCTGTCCACCTGCATCAGATATAGCAATTTCAGCCACAGCAGATGCAAATGCTGTATTCAAAGCTTGCAATTTGTGGGGAGTTACTTTTCCTTCCATACTGCCCATGGCACTCATCATTATTTCTCCGATGGAACTCATATCATCCATTTGCTCTCGAGTAAAAACTCCACTTTGACGAGCACAATTCAAAAAATTTTGCATAAATGCATCAGCTTTTGCCATGCTGTCCCATGGACTTCCTTGTCCAGCAGCAAATTTGCTGTGAAAGCATAGAGCTAGAAGAAAAGCTAGAGAAAGTTGAGTAAACCAAGTCATTTTGCTTGATGGATATTCTCAACTGAATGTACTTTTCCTATGATTTCGGCATCCTTTTATACAGAGTTTTTCGTGAGGAGAAACAGGTTTGTCAATAAAGCTGAGAATTTCAGATCGCATGATCTTCGAGTCAGGCAAGATGTGACGCATATCCAATTAGTGGAGTAAATACACCTGCTAGTCTTAGACGCAGAATCTTACACGTTGGAACTTTTGATGCAGATATACATTTTATGAATTATTCAACCTCAATTCATATTAATTATAATATTTTTAGCAAATGAATTCTACAATATTAATTTTATCAGTTTTGTTTCTACCAATGTACCATAAAACTATATTTAAAGTTGAAGCACATTTATTCATTGTTGTATTCGACAGTTCCCTTTCATTTAATTGCATTAGTTACACTGGGTTTAAAACCAGAAACCTCTTTGCAATCAGTTTTAAATTGTTACTCAAAGCCGTTGCATGCAACCAGTTAAAACAATCGAAATATTATTGAGTTAAATGAACCAGTAATAAAATTACCTTCTTGAATAATAAATTTACCGTCAACAAAAATAGGATTCTGAAGAATTTTTAATTGATCGTATATTAATCGGCATATTTAAAATAATTTTGACATAAAAAAGCATGTTCATTTCTAGAAAAATGATTTTTAATTTTCAATTCGAGTATCGAGTTTATTCTTTTGTTTGTAATCACTCGCCAACTTCTTAGGGCTGCAGAGTTCTTTTCAGATTTCTTCACTCGATCTTTTACCTCTTTTAATACCTTTTATAATTAAAATTCTTCATCTTAATATTTTTTGGTGTTCAACACTTTGTTCTCTGTTGCTCACAAATATCTATAACTACTTTCTCTCACTCATTTTAACTTAGTTTGGTTTATAATCCTTTATACTTTACTAAATGAGTACCCGTTGTTCGTATGAGGTGAAAAATTTAAACAATCAATACAGGGTGTTTATAAAGTCCCAGACCCATTTTGATGTTTAATAACTCATAAAATAGTAAACATAGATTAAAATTAATAACATAAATGGTTAGATGGACTCAAAAAGTTTCATGACCCTTGTCAATGAACTTCCACGTGTGCCCCCTTCGTCGCACGGATAATATCAAGTCGATAGTCAATTTCACGCCAGATAGCGGCAAGCGTTATGAGTTATTACTCATCAAAATGGGTGTTTCTGGCATTGTTAATCGCCATATTTTGAGCATGTGGGGATCTGAAAACACCCATGAATACCGTGAGACACAAAGGGATTCCCCAAAGGTTAATGTGTGGTGTGGACTAATGCACGATCGAGTCATTGGGTCTTTCTTTTTTACAGAAAAGACTGTCTCATCAGTCGTATTCTTAGACGTGTTGGAAAACTTCGTATTTCCACAACTAAAAGAGCTTCAGCCACATGCCTTTTCGCAACAAGATGGTGCACCACCTCATGGGAGTATCATCGTTCGTAGTTCTTTGAATGACCATTTTCCAGGAAGATGGATTGTGCGAGGAGATCCAATTCCTTGGCCACCCAGATCACCTGATATAACGCCGCTGGACTTTTTTCTTTGGGGATTTATGAAGGACAATGTTGACAGGAGGATCGTGTCGAACATTGATGACCTAAAATCCAGAATTACAACCGCAATTGCCTCCGTGGACGCCGACATGCTTGCCGCTAACTGGCGTGAAATTGACTATCGATTTGATATTCTTCGTGCGACGAAGGGGGAACGCGTGGAAGTTCATTGACAAGGATCATGAAACTTTTTGAGTCTATCTAACCATTTATGTTGTTAATTTTAATCTATCTTTATAATTTTATGAGTTATTAAACATCAAAATTTGTCCGGGACTTTATAGACACCCTGTATATTAGTGACCCTACGAAATCATTCACAAAGTTAAAAGATATACACCAACACAATGAATAAGGATAAATTAATTACATTTTCTTATTTGTTATCCCGGTGGCTTTACGTAAATAAATTTGAAAAAAATTCGTTCGATAAGTTTTCGATAAGTTTTAAAATTAATTCTTTTAGATGTGTGTTGATTTGTTTAGAATATATTTTATGTTATATAAAAGCAAAGGCTACCTGCGGGTTTCAGGTTTGGAATTCTAGAGTTTGCTATACATTTATCTGCAAACTAAAATGTTTAGTATTAAGCTGAATTTGAGCCCAGCAAAAAAGAGAGTGTGCTTTATTTTTCTTTTTGAATTTAAAGCTTAAAATTACACGTGCTTGCAACTAATCTTTTTTTCTTTTTTCAAAATATTCCCTCATAAAATAAATGAGTCTGTCAATCTGTTATAACATTTTACATAAATATACTGATAGAATCTAAAAGAAATTAGTTTTCGCGACGTTTTAATTACGCCTAATTCATATAAAAGAAATGCTCAACATTAACAAAATAAAGGCATTGATGTATAAAGGTATAACTTAGGTATTAATATTTTTAAAATGGGGATATAAACATGATGAGTAGTTGCTTTATTATTTCAGCTTTAATAAAAAATTTGGAAGCAAAATAGCTTGTCATAGAATGCGGGATCAAATTTTTAGATTATGTGTTAGAGAATTCGATTTTGTTTCTATGGGTACTGAATTTCATGATAAATAAGCTGCAAATGGCAGATTAGTAAATTTCATTTGCTTATTAAATTTAAACTTGCAAATCTGTCTAACTTAAAAAAAGTTTGGCAGATTGATAGCTAATTGTTTTATCTTCTTTAACGTGATATGAAGTTACTTTCCTACTTTATAAGTCATCATTACTGCAGCACCGATAGGCAATAAGGAAGTTTTGCAAACATAACTGCAAGAGGGAGCTGTAGATATAAAATTGTTGACCACCCCCGATTTAACCCTTTGACATATCATTTCTTGATATAGAAATGATCTTTGATTGCACTGTAAACAACAACAACTCGCAACGGAATGTTGACAGAGATGCCAACTGCACCGGACACGCCAAAATAATTTTTTAAAAAACGGTAAATAACTACAAACTAAATTTTGCAAATATTTGACTATTTTAGCTTGCTTTTTAAAAGATATAGCATGACATAACTACTATAAAGTGGTGAATTGTATAAGCCAACGAATTATTTAGAAATAGTGGTGGATAAAAATCTACTAAACTGAATTTATTAAACCAAGAATCACAATTGATAAACTACCACTTTAAAATATTTATTTGCTGTCCGGAGCAAATTGGCATCTCTGTGTGGAAGACGTCTGAGAAACGTCAATTATTGTTTTGACATAAGAAACAAATGACGTCTCCCAGACGTCTGCATATAACAAGGGGTTAATTAAATATTATAATGATTCACGAGTTCTGAAAGAAAAGGTTTTGTACAGTATAGATCCGTTTAACCATTTAATATTTTTATGTTAACATTTACATAAAAGATTACAATATGTCTGGCAATTACAATATGTCTGGCAAAGATTACAATATGTCTGGTAAAACCTAAGATCCCCGAAAAAGTCAAGTAATTTTTAGCAAGTTGATAATATTTTCGAAAAGTTCAGTAGACAGATTCATCTTTTAAAGTCATATAAAACACTTGAAATATTTGAAAACTTTTATAACTTTTTAATGAGTAATATTGAGTTTTCTTTTGATTTACTTCACCTTTTTTAATAACTTTAAGAATAGAGGCAAACTATTATCAGTTACTTTTATTTGTTTACAAAAATAATTTTGAAAAAATAAAATGAAGGCTAAATAAGGTTGTATTTTTTAGACTGATTTTTATTAAAAATTTTGCTGATACTTTAAAATTTCCAATATTATATTAAAACACATCCTGCTTAACTATTTTGATAATTCCATATTCCAGATTTTGGCTTTAGTTTTAAATACCCACTATTTTTTTTAACATTTTGAGTTCCTATGAGTATAATATTCAATTTATACAACGAATAAACTTATACGACTCTAACGTAAAGCTAGGAGAGGCAACTGTTCAAGATTTCTTCACAATATAAATACAACAAAAATTAACAGCTGAACATTTTGAAAAAAAAAATTTTTGAATAAGGGAAGTAAGTGATTTGTGCCTTATAAACAAGTAATATATTAAAAAAAATTAAAGTCAATTTCCACCTAGGTCAACAAAGAAAATTTTTATTTTAGTTACTTTTTATTAAATAATTACAATTGTTTCTGCCATATAAAACTAAAATTAATTAATTAAATTTAATGAATGAATTAATATTTGAAAACATAGTATTAACAACAAGTGTCATCCACTATAAGTTTAAAAAATTTATTTGTACTTGAGTAGATTAATTAAAAGTATTTTTATTAAAGATTGAAACTTTGAACAAGATAGAGGGAGAGTGGGAACTAATAAGTAGGAATTGAAAAAAAGTAAAACTATCTTCTTTAAGATAATCTCTAAAGTCTGAAAAGTGAATCGACCCTGTTTCCCTAAATTAAAAAATTTAATAAATAAACAAATAAAATTATTCTTAAATTCACTTTATTACTCCTTATATAAAGTTCTTAATTTCAGTTTCATCAGTTCATTCATTCAGTTTCATTCAGTTTATATCAGTTTCAGCTATCTTTGCAAACTGTGTTGAATATTTGCAGTGTCATTATTAAAACTTTTATAGCACAATTCTTAAGCACAAAAGGAGTTTTAAGATAGTTAAAATATTGTTCGCTGATTTAAATGACCATCAGTGTCTGTTGTTTGTGTTTGTCTAAGCCAGAGGTCACCAAAGTGGTCTATATAGACCCCCAGGGGTCTATTTAACAGAAGCGGGGGTCGGTCTGAGACAGGATGGCGAATGGGGGTCGATCCGAATCGGAAGTGTCGATTGTGGGTCGAAAAAACAAAACAGTTCTCAATACGCAAATCACACATACCTAATTAAGTATGTAAAATTTGTGAATTTTTTGTGTAAGTGACTCAGTATCAGTTTCTTTATAAAACATAAATTAATAAACGTATATTTATTGGGTTGAAACAAGTATTTACGTACCACCGCGTAGTGGC